GGATCGCTGCTGACTCCGTCATCAATCTTTACCGGTAGAGACAAGCGCTTGACGCTAGTGTTGACAGTTCAAGTAGTCGCATCTTCAGTGGCAGATAAATACTGCATGGAGGCGTGCCATCGGTCCATCGCGACAATGTCCTGGTATTGGAATATCCCAAAGCGAGGAACTCTTACACCAATAGTGTCGTCATCGACAGTTTCAATCAAGCCTTTTCGAAACGCTGCGACCGCAGCCAGGCATTTTTCCACAAATTGTTTTGGAAACACAAATCTGACGTCACAGATGCACTCATCCTCAAGATAAATACCAGCATTCGCCTTCTTGGTCTTTGGAACAGCTCGAATAGTGAGATGGGGTAGCACCTTCTTGGCGTCTTCATAGATGTAGTTGTTGTCCAACAGTTTAGCAATGTTCCGTACGTTTGGAACTGGTGCCAGCGTCCCTTGTACCAGCTTGGAAGCCTTCTTCTTGCTATTCTCGATCCTCTGCTTCTTTTCTGCTTTTCCTTGCTTCTTTCTGACTTGGGGACGTCCCCGACTTTTTGCGCTCTTTGTTATCACAAATGACCCAGACTGCGAGGATTCTGACGAACTGCTGCTAATGTGCTGGCGCTTGGACTGGCTTGGATTTTGTTTGAAATCAGACATTCTTGCTGCATCCACCTCTGGGGTGGTTAAAGTCACACAGGAATTGCCTCTAGTTACACACAGTGGTTCTTGTGTAGCAGGAGGGGTCAAAGTCACGTGGGAAGTACCTCTAGTCACACACGGTGTAACTGTAGGCTCTTGCATTGTAGCTGTAGCACATTGCATTGTAGCTAGAGGTGCGCTCTGTTGAGTCGGAGGTTCGTCATCGTCCGAGTTCGTTGTGGAAGTGTTCTTGATTTTTTCTTCATCTTCCGTATCGCTTTTCATCACAGCATCCTTTGGTTCAACAGCATTGGTATTTAACGTAGGCGAAAATGTCAGCGACGATAGCTGTGAAAGCGGGTCTACCCATTCACCTTCTCGACCAACAAATGGTGCAACACCGTCCTTGATAATGTCTTCAAATTTCTCCAAGGCGTTCATCATTTCTCCAAATACAAACGTTCCGTTCCTGCTCATAATATCTGCAATACGCTTTCCACACTCGAGAGCGTGCTTGTACTTCGTCGTCCCATTTAAAACGTGATGGCGCCTTGCTGTCATAGCAGAGTCACGGACTTGGAAGGTTGTGTACGCAACTGTTTTGTCTGGTACGTCTTCTTCTGGCGCAGGTTGATTCAGCTTGCACGACAACCTCCAACGGGGTGCAATGTACCGAATAGGAATTGCCTCTTTTCCACGTAAAAGACGCCAATACATGACGTGCTGGCATGGAAGCAACATCGTCTTCATGAATGCACATGAGCAGTGATATCTCTAAAGACACGCAATAACAGCGACGTACGTTAGGGTTTACACGGGCCAGAACGGGTGACAAACTTACCGTAGTGTCGACATGATAGCATGTACTGGTGTCGCCACCTCCGGTCAGGACAAACAGGCTAGAATGTATTTCCTCCACGCCGTAACTTGTCTTGCGATCCTTAGACGCCCAATACTGCTCTTCAACAAGCCGGTACGCATACGGGCTGACTTCGCGCGCTAGCTGTGCAAGCTCGTGATCTGCACCATCATAACGCATCTGGCCCACGTCTGTAATTTTCTTTCCGTACTCCATCTCTGCTACTGCTTGCAAGAACATCAGCGTATCTACGCACTCATCCAGCGCCATCTCCGGCTTCAGAACCTCTTTGATATGACCCCATGATGTTTCAAGCCTACAGACCACCAAACCACCAGGCAAAAACACAGTTAAAGGTGAGTCTAGAACCTATAGCGCAAGAAAATGTACCTATTATTGGTGTGGTTGCCTAGATGTGGAACATCCGAACGTGCGTACAGCGCCCATCGTTCTTTCATCGAATCCCAGTTCTTCATGAAGTACTTCAAAAATGGATGCGTAGGCACAGGTACAGGGTCTTCACGTTTAAGACGAACACCTTCCAGCAAGAAGTATAGATACTTCAGATACTTAACGTACTCATCCGTAGGAATCGTTAGCCGCATCATATCGATAGCATCTTTAACTTGGTCTTTGTCGAAGCTGGACGGGCCTCCATACTCGCTCTTTGCCAGCTCGATCCGAATATACTTCTTCAAATGGAAGTGACACAGAATCACTTTCACGCCAGGGAACTCCATTTCTAGTAATCCTAATTTATTCATGTCCTTGTCAATCACAATTACCCTGACTTGCTCCCACGAAGAGTTGTTAAACTTGAACGACCCGATAGCATCTGAAAGACACTCTGCCCTTTCGTTCTCCATGAGACTGTGGTGTACGTATTGACCCTAGCATTACGTTAACAACTCATAAGTAAGAATTTGTACATATTAAGTACATGTTGTAGCTGAAGCTACGCAAACAGTAAAAGTGTAACTAGAGGCACATAGGATGTATCGTCAGGGACATTTACTTACATGTCCGTACACATCATTAACCATGAACGAGAAGAGCTTGTAGCGCGATTCGTTGGTGTTATGCGTCGCGTCATTGAGCATCACTTCAGGAAAAGCCTTGAACCAGCGTCGCATTTGTCTCGTCTGCAACGCGATGGTCTGTGCAGTTTTGGATTCGTCGACGTAAACGGTTGCTCGGTTTCCACGACATTCGCAAATCCCTCGCAAGACAGTCTCCAGCCGTTCTTCAGTAGTCGCACCTCCCCTTCGTCTCTCCTTCATTCTCGCCACCATGTTGTGTACATCTCGAAGCACCACATTTTTTCCTACATGGAGTCCAAAACAAGAAAGCTATCAGTCACTTTATATAATTCTGGGTTGAGTTAAGCGCACCCACCTGTCTTCTTTCGCAGGAACTGCATAATTAGCTTCGGCTTAGAACCAGCAGCTTGAAGTTCATCCACGAATGCCAGTATGTCCGGATCCTCCACGCGACGGTTCGACACATGGTTCTCAAATGTAGCGCGAGACACATTGTGGTTGTGTCTGACGTCAAAGTCAGTGACGCGTACCATGAACGTGTCGTGTTCATCGTTCCACACGACAGCAGCCTTAATGTTTGCCTTACAGCCTGTAGTCTTCTCAAAAAACGACCTTCGTATCCCCTTTCCACGGCTCTTGCGCTTCCACCCGTGACTGCAGACCAACTTAATCCAGAAATTTCCGAACTCCTCAGGGATCAATCGATCCGACGTCTCATCAGTAACTGTGTTAGTCGTGCCGGAATCATCTGGGTCCTTCGCATTAACACTCAGGTTTGCTCGCGCCTTAATTTCTCGATTTCTCTTTTGAACCGACGTGGACGTGCGCTGTGGAAAGATCTGGTGTGTCTCCTCTTGGTAGCGCTCCATGTATTTGCGGAAGGTATCCCAGCTCTCATGCCACTCGACATCAACTGGGGGACAGAGCCACGAGACCCCAGGAGGGACTTGCCGCTCGGGTTCACTGTCGCTCATTCTGATTGCACACATGAGAACCACAGAATACGCTCTTAGCTTACCTCCCCCCCTCTAATCTACATGAACATGCATGCTTACCTTCAGAGCTGTCGTGTGTCTTCGTCTCGTATTAGAGTTTAGGAGGGGCGCGTGGCTGATGTAGTGCGCGGGAATTTTTTGGAATGAAAGGCTCATAGATTTTGGGGATGAGAGAAAGGGGGGAGAGGGGGTGTCTTTTTCAGAAATCTTGTTTTTCAGAACTGAGTTGAAATTTACCTCGGACAGTATTTTATCGTCAAAATTACGAAGGTACTACTGTAATGTTTCGTGTAAGTACTATTTTACTCGGTGCCGCTAATCAAATAGTATAATTTGAGTACTTTTAAAATAATTTTAGGAACGTTTTTCGGGCCCCACAGCGTAGGGTGCCGAATAGCCTACATTATGAGCAGCAACTTCGTCTGAAAATGCTGGCTGCACTTCGTAGCTTCGAGGCCACAGTAAAAGAAAACGATGTTCTGGTAGCTGCATAGGGTTCAGCTCAGAGGG